AATCCCGTTATCTTTAACTATGTACATATATGACTTGAAATTGAAATCCGAATCCCGTTAAATATCACTGAAATCGAATCCCCGAATCCCGTTAGAAATCCTTCTTGAACTCAATCACATATATATATATATATATATTATATATATATCTATATGAAAACAGTAAACAGAGAAGAAGTTGTGAGAGAAGGTAAAATTATGACAAGAGCAACAGAAGAAGCCGAAGAGAGATTAACAATAATATTATTCTGTGTTTATGTTTTCACGTACAGCGGCTTGATTATGCTTTATTTATGTCTTAAATGTTTCAAAAAGAAACGGCCTGACCTTGAGACTGGCGGCATCACAGAGCCACTTCTAACGCCGTCCATCTCTCGACAGCCAAACCTTGACGAGACTGACGGCATCACGGCGCCACTTTTAACGCCGTCAATCTCTCCACAGCCAATGGTGGCCGGTGACCTTGATGAGATCACGGCGGCGGCAAATGTAACGATGTCCATGTCTCCACATGAGCCACCACTCCAGGTTGTAATAAAATTGAGAATTGATATAGACTCTATCTCTCTCAATCAAATTGTTCCTACGTAATTGTTTTGATGTCACGACATCATTTTATATTGAACGAAATAAATTGGTGATAGTTTTTCTTTTTCATGATGTTTTTATAAGTTATACCATTTATAGTTCTTCGCAGATTCTTCATTCTATCACCTCCCTGTTTTTTATCTTTGTATTAATTTCCTTCTTCATGAGTAGTGCTTTTGTGTTTTTTTGATATAATTATACGTATCTTAACAACTAATCCTATTCTAATTTTAAGTGATTATCTTCAATGTAATTGATTGTTATTCCTTGTATTGTTTTTGGTATAATTATACGTATCTTAACAACTAATCCTAATTTTAAGTGATTATCTTCAATGTAATTGATTGCTATTCCTAATTACAAGGACACAGGCAAATATATATATTTAATGGGAGTTGATGATGTATATCTTTTGTGATCTCACATTGCACATCTGTTACTTATTAAAAAAATCATTGATAATTTATAATTAGAGTTCGATAAGTATCAATCACAATGTCAATAAAATGAAAAATGATTTAGGTATGGAAAATATAAGATGAATGTATAAATAAAACTTATTTTTTTTAAAAACAAAATAATAAGTACAAGAGCTCTTTTTAGAATAAAGAAATGTAAATTTTACTATTTTAATCAAATAACTAATTAGTATGTACTAATCAACTAATAAAATTTAGTTAGTTAAAACTATCAAATTATTTATCATCTATTGCATTCAATTCAATCAACTCTCATGAGTCATTCAGTTATCCTCTCATGTGAAGGCCTATACTCGTGTATTTGGAGTATTTGGAGGATTGGATGACTATTTGCCATATTTTTAACCACTCGAGATGTTAAACTAGATGTCAAAGCTTACACTCATTGGTATTTGGAGTTTTGGATAATTGTCAATTTAATCACGTGAGATGTTATTTAAAAACTATTTTTACTCTTATGTGGCCGGTCTATGATGTTTGGATATGGAATATTGTTTAAAGAAACGAATGTTGTGAGAATCATAGTTCCAAACATTTTGGGTGTGTTAGAATTATGATGTAGGAAGCGTACGAGGGGATTTGTGATAACAGAGAAAACTCTCAAGAACGATATTTTATTTCATAATCAATAATCTGCAGAATGACCAAGAGAAAGTGTCTTATATGGTCGACACTTCACAACCTAAACATAAATAATAAAAGCCCAATAACACAAGCCCAATAATACTGAATAAAAGAAGCATAAATAATAAAAACCAAATAATAATCAAACAAGGGGTCGAAGACGGTCATGCTTGTCGAGGAACGCCAACGCACTCTCATCGGCATCATTCTCCCCCAGCTGGAGAGGATTCGCCCTCAAATCCGAACCACTCTCGTCGTCAGAATTGTCCCCGCGAAAAGGTACCAAGTGTTTGACGTTAAAGACATCGGAGGTGCGCACATGTGAAGGGAGACGAAGACGGTAGGCGTTCGGATTAATTTTCTCAATGATCTCCACAGGCCCAATTTTCCGGGCGGCTAGCTTATTGTACTCGTGGGCCGGAAAACGATCCTTGGTCAAGACCGCCCAAACGAAGTCGCCGACGTCAAACTCCAAATGCCGCCGGTGCGCGTCTGCCCGTCGCTTGTATGCGGCCGTCGTGGCGTCCAGATTCGCACGGACCACGTCGTGAGTGCACCGCACCTCGTCCAACAAGTCCTCGGCCTGCTTATTCTCAAGCCCGAAAGACGACAAGGCGATCAAATCTGCCGGACCCCGTGGAACCATCCCGTACACCACCTGAAACGGGCTGTGCTGAGTTGCATGACTCAATGCCGAGTTGTGGGCAAACTCGGCTTGGCTAAGCCGGAGATCCCACGAACGCAAGTTATCCCCAACGAGGCAGCGAAGCAAGTTCCCTAAAGAGCGGTTGACGACCTCAGTCTGGCCGTCAGTTTGAGGATGATAAGCACTGCTAAAGTCGAGCCTGGTGTTCGCCTGACGCCACAAACTACGCCAAAAGAAACTGAGGAAACGTGTATCGCAGTCGGAGACAATGAACGTGGGTAGGCCATACAAGCGATAAATCTCACGAAAGAAAAGCTGAGCTACATGCACAACATCAGTTGAGCGCTTGCAAGGAATGAAGTGGGTCATCTTAGAAAAGCGGTCAACAACCACGAAAATGGAATCATTACCTCGCTGTGTACGTGGGAGACCAAGGACAAAGTCCATGCTAATGGCACACCACGGCTGCGAGGGTACCGGAAGTGGGCGATACAACCCGGCGTTCGAAGCCACACCTTTCGAGACCTGAGAAATTCTGCACCGCTCCACAAAACGCGAAACATCGCGCCTTAAGGTAGGCCAAAAGAAGGTGCGCTGTACAAGCTCAACTGAGCGATCACGGCCCACATGTCATGCCCCATGCAAATTCCCAATAAGTTTCAGCCGAAGGCTGCCCTCTGGGATACATAAACGGACCCCTTTAAAAAGGAATGCCTCACGCACAATAAAATCATCGACCGGGCCCGCAGCCAAACGCACAAGAATGGGTCCAAAGAAAGCATCAGAGGCATACTGATCACGCAATAAATCAAACCCAGTGACCGAAACTCGCATATCAGTCAAAAGAAGAGAACGTCTACTCAAAGCATCAGCAACACGATTCGACGTACCCGACCTGTGCTTGAGGACGAAAGTGAACTGCTGCAAGAACGTAGTCCAGGATGCATGTCGGGCATAGATGTTGTCTTGAGACGAGATGTATCGTAACGTCTCATGATCAGAGAACAATACAAACTCACGATGGGACAAATAGTGTCGCTAATGACGTACAGCCCGCACAACCGCATACAACTCCACATCGTAAGTACTATAACGCGTCCTCGGGCATGACAACTTCTCGCTAAAAAAGGCCACTGGCCGTCCCTCCTGACTCAGAACGGCCCCAATACCCACTTTCGATGCATCACAAGAGAGCTCCCAATTTTTGATGAAGAGCCTCCGGTGACAAAGACATATTTTTGCAGTAATATGGGTTCCGCGTGGGACGTCGCAACGGTTGAGTCTTCGAATGGGCAGCAGTCATTCACACCCCATTTTTTGAGTATATTGGCCAAAGATGGTTTTTCGGAGCCGAAGCCGAGACTCCATAACTGGTGGGCCATTTTCGATTGTTGTTCCCAAAGTCTCCCAACACCGGTATGCTTGGCCGTAGTTATAGATTTATGTGCGGTGAACGATGTGGTCTGTTTTGTGTTCATTCGGTTGTGTGGGCTTTGCGTCAGGTGTCGTGTACATGTGACTTTGCTGCAGTTGAATCCTTGATCGAGATTATGTTTACCTTCGAGATTGTTGGACGACTTTCAACCTTCGTCTTCGATCGGGGGAAACGTTCGGGCTGTTGCTGTTTTGAAGACGTCTCCAACGGGAACGGGTCGGATTCGAGGGCGAATCCTGCTCAACCGGGGGAGAATGGTATAGGCTAATTATTATTATTATTATTATTATTATTATTATTATTATTATTATTATTATTATTATTATTCTTATTATTATAGCAATTAATATTATTTAATAGTTAGTAGCTTAGGGAATAAGCTAGGGTATTATTTCATGGCTTTATTTAAAGGGATCTTAGGCTTTGTTATGGTCAGTTGATTATTGAATGAAAAATGAGATTGTAAGTTTTATCGAGAGAGTATCTCGTTCGTTTATCCTTCCCACTCGCACGCTTCCCTGCATCTAGGTATAAAAAATTTCAAATTTTTTACTCAAAGATCAAAACTAAAATAAGCAGCGAAAATAAATGAATGTGAATAAACAAAATTTAGCCTACAAGTGATATACACTTGTAGACTAAGGTCATATGCCAAAATATGCTAAAAAATTCACTAGAACAAATTAATCACAAAGTTTTTCGTACAATCCATAAACAACTAGTGAACTACGAAAAGCAACAAAACGCGAGTTCGATACTAATATGCATTATATCAATTTAGATGATCAAATGAATCATGCCAAAAGAAAAGATGAAAAGATCAAAGCCGAACTGTCGCAATATGCGCTTGATCAAGATAATTGCTCCTGTTTGCTTGAAGCTTCCACGTGCTAAATAAAAATATGCTGCTTCTCCTTTTTCCTTGTAAATATGCCGTGCTTAAAGGTCACAAGCGAAAGACAAAAATTATATTATATGCCCGTACTTAGAAGGGAATTCTATTGCTTTGGAAAAACAAGGATAGATATACCAATCCTATTTACTTAAAACCATATCTAAGTTAGAGAAGGACATATTTTGAAATGGAAATGCCGCAATAATCATAATCAAATCTTTCACTTTACAAATCAGAAATGCACTTCTGTAGATGAACATACATCAACGTTTCCAAATAGTATATGCATGTAATTTGAATGGATAACATTAGAACTAACCTGTTCCAATTGCTTCACGCATTCTCCTCAAATGAGATCACACGTGGCTGCAGTTTCACTATCACAAGAAGATTCAGCTGCATATCTTCAAAAACTAAAATAAAGGGAAAATTCCATTTTCAGTACCTAATCACTACCATGCTTCCATTTTCCGGTACCCCTGCTTCCCAAACACATCAGATTTGGTAATTCATCTTTTGAATTTTTAAATCATTTTCACCAAAGCTGAAAAATAAGGTATAATTCGAGTGCTAAAATAAAATTCTCTTACCATAACATCAACAACATATTGCAAATCAATAAAGTTCATATGCTAATGCGTCACAATATACACTTTTCCTTATGTGTCACGCCCTAATTACCATTCTTTTTGGATCTCTAAAGCCACCTCTGCAAAGTCTAAGCACCCAATACATCGGCTTCGTGCTTCAGCTTACCAATCCGCCTATTCAGCTTTAGCCAAGGTAGCTTCAGATTCTGCCGACGGGTCATTTTTCTCATCTTATGAAAATTGTGAGAAAACCTACAAAATAAGAGATTGAAGAGCTAAAAAAACCCAAACAAACAATAAACAAATAAAAGTACCTTTAAGAACAGCAAAAACACCTTTCCATAAAACTGGATATAACAAATAGATGCCGTCGAACAGACAAACAGCCAATGAAAGGAGATTTTANTATAAAAAAAAAAAAAAAAGTATCTATATCACAACTGAAACCGATTAGCTATCATATAGAGTATAAAATATTGTTTATTATCATTAAGATGTGTAAACATATTATGTCCTCATTTTGTACTTTAACTCCATTTTAACTTTGGCATTTTGTTTCTTATATCTGTAATATCTTTTTATTCTTATAAGCCTCCATGATGCTATCCCCTGTGGCCAAGCAAGAAAAGTTCCCCAGTGTTGCCTCCAAGCTGCACAAGAAAAGATACTCAAAATTTAAAAAATAAAAACCAGAAAGCCTATTCATCCAGAAATTTATATATGGATCAAAATTCCAGCACAATGTAATCTGCAGCACTTATATTACAATTGATATTCCCTACATATACTAAGAATGTTTCTAGTAGAATACCCCAACCCTATCTGCCCTAAGATTACAACAAACATAAAAAAGAAATATATATTTTTCTGCAAGATCCTGCGGAAAGCAAATGCAAATTCGCTCAATAATAGTAGTTATAATAATAATAATGTTGTTCAGTCTGATAAAAAAGTGATGAAATGCTGTCCAG